AGCTATAACTTCGCCCCGAAATTATTATAAAAATATTCAACATCTGTAAACTATGTTCCTCCCTTCTTGTTAGAGTCCTGTATGCGCGTTTCCTTTACATGGCCTACTTCCTATATGTAGATAAGGATAGTATTTAAACAAAGGACTTTAAACTTTTATTGTAAAAACTTCCTGAAGAAGTGTACAGAGTTAGACGAAACGTGTAGGAGATATAAAATAAAAAGTTTTACAACCTAGTATCCTAAGTGCTGCTCACTGGTTCCTTTCAAAAAGGTTTCAAAAAGATTTCAAAAATTTTCAAAAAAATAGTCTATAGCAAGTTCCTCGTTACCAGTCACCGCAATGGCTTGCATAGGAATGTGTAGGTATCAGGACAAAGAAGTGTTTGTATTTAGGTATATGGGGGGGGGGGGTACAATTCTTTCCCTGCTAAAGGAGGGGGGGGCAAAATTTTTTTTGACATTAAGTGGGGGGGATCTTGAAATTTTGGAGTATTTTTGAAATTTCCTCTGCCCCCACCCCCCTGCGGTATACATAATGAACGCAGCCTAAGTTCACTAATAATAATGAGAATTTTCTTTAGAAAATGACCATCGATTTACAAATATCAGTAAACAAAAGATGTTAAAGAGTCAAGCAATTTATGAAAGAAGTTTTGAGAGCCTGCCTATCATAATATCCTTTTAAATAGAAATAGAATTTTAAAAAATTAGCAATTTTCCTAGCCGAAGTAAGCAAAATGCAACTCGATCTCCTAATACTAGGACATAATAATATTGCGTATATGCAAGAATCCAAAGTGGGCAGTTCAATTTTAACAGACTGCTGGAAATTGTACTTTGATATGAAATTTTTCATTTGTTCAGCTTGAAAAATTGACACTACAGTGTAAACGTTAAAGCTTCACTTAAAACAATTACAGACAAGCTAATATTTGTAGATTGATAAGGCTTCTCTCAGAATTACTTAACTATTTAATTATAGTTTCCTTTGTTAACCGATATTTGTATATTGATTGTCATTTAATTCTAAAAAAAAACTAATCTCTTTTACATTAAGTGAGCTAGAAGTTTTAAAATACACCCAGATAATAAACATCAATGAATGCATCAAAATGCATGTGTTTCAAAAATCATATTTATCATTTTACAGCACTTCAACATCACATGCACAAAATTTTGCAAAATGAGGTTTTGGTGAACATTATATGGAATGTTCCAAAAACAGCTTAGCGTCCCCAAAAACCAGTTTGTTGTGACAGCAAATTGTACAAATTTCACATGCGTGATTTGGAAGTGCTGTTGTTCTCTTTAATAACAAAAGCAGTCTGCTCAAATACACCTACATATTTAAAAAAATGAATCGAAAACTTGATAGTAAGGGATTAAAGACAGTGCAATTGTTACGTCTTTGATTTAAATAATAACTGATTTTCTGATAACTGATAAGGGGATTTTCATTATGACTTATAATAGGAAACCTTTTACCAGTAGAGACCTGATCAGCTAATTGATGGAAAATATCTTATTTTTGTTTTATTTCCTACAGAAAAGTCAAAAATCCCTTCAAGTACAACAAATGATGTCACAATGTTTCATAACGATGAAGCCTGTGGAACTCTATTAGAGATAAGGCAAATTCAAGCCACATACAGTCCAAAAAGAAGTACCAAACCAAAGACATTTCTATTACTTCCAAAGGTACCCAGATTTACTAAATTTGGAAATAATTTGACAAGGACTACATTTAAAAAAGAAGCGGTAAATACAAAATCACACAGCTACAACAGCCAAGCTTCACCAAGAGGACAGAAACCATTAAAAATGAATCCTAGAAGGGAAGAAAATATTGTAAGCTATAAGAAGATATATTTATCAGAAATGCAGTCCAAGGCAATAGGTGGTGTACCAAGTGCACCCCCAGGGACTCCATCATCAGGTATATATGACTACAACCTAATTAAAATAGGCAGCACACAATATATGATAAATTTATCTCTTTCATGTGACCCTGAACATGGAAGTCTGGAACAAAAAACCTTACCCAGATTCTAAGGAGGAAAATACTGCCAGATAAAGTCCACACAATAAAGTGAAAATTATGTACGAAAAACACATAACAAAATTAATAATAAAAATTATAACAATAACTATATGAAACAACAACAGCAACAATAATAATAATCACCTTTATTTTATAGAGGGTAACACATGGAAGTTTCCAACTTAGCACTGATAAACTTGTGGTCCTCTATGTTTAACATCTCCAAGTGAGGCAATAACATGTACCATCATTTTACGTAGTCATCCGAGCGTTGAGGAAGGTCTAACCATAATTGCAGATATTCTAGATCAAAGCTTAAGGCAGCACCTTCTACTCAGATATTTTGCACACTAAACCAACTAAAAAATGCACAACATCTTCATCTTAGTCAGAAAATTACGATTAAGCATATAAAGTAGATAAATTGCAGGACAAGAGCACAAGCCAAACATTCTCGTCCAATAATTGTATAATATGACTTAACCAAATACTTTGGGAATCCCTTGAAAATATTAAAATTTCTTCCTCAGATCAACTGAAGAAAATAGAATATGTCCCATCTCTAATGGACATTAAGGTAGGACTAAAGATTAGTTAATGTATTATTCTTCTGAAGTGCAGCCAATGATACAACCAATGAATCTTTGTACATTATTAGTACTAACGATAGTAGTCACCAGTGCGTAGAAATACTAAATAAATAACTCTGGTTCCAGACCTCAACCTCATTAAAAAGTTCCAGATGCAAATTAACACATGCATACCAAACTTTTTGCACTGATGTAAACAAAATATTGTATGGGTTTAAGGCAGATTTCTAAATATCCAAATGGGAAAAAAATAAAGGGTCTTGATTTTTATAAGGGAGGACCTTTATCGATAGTACCATGTACTTGCTCGAATCTGAGCACAATGAATGACAAATCTGCAAGTATTATCATAAGTATACCATGTACTTGCTCGAATTTGAGCACAATGAATAACACAGCTACTAGTATTATCGTTAGTACCATGTAATTGCTAGAATCTGAGCACAATGAGTGACACAGCTACAAGTATTATCATAAGTACCATGTACTTGCTCGAATCTGAGCACAATGAGTGACACAGCTACAAGT